AGACAGAGAGACAGACAGCCAGACAGCCTGCCAGGCAGGCAGGCAAGCAGGAAGGCAGCCAGGCAGCTAGGACCGACCGAGGGACATGTGTATCTCGAGGCATATCTGTTTATTCTCCATGTTTCGATTCTGTGACGGCCTCAGGCTTTCCGGCTCGACTGTGTCAACAGCGTGGCTCGGATCTGCAGCATAGTGATTCGGTGTGGCTCCGGCAATGGAGGGCGCTGCAAGAAGACTGTTGATTGCGCAAACATGCGGCCTTAGCCTGGTGCCCTGGAGTAAGGGAGCTTTGTTTATTTCCAGCAGTTTTCTGTTTATGAGCAGACAGACAGCAAAATTCGGTTTTGTCAGAGACGGAGGAGGCCACTGTTCACGTCCTGATGTGACTCTTGTGATGTAGAGACATTCTAGCGGCTCAAGTATGTGCACAGGGCCAAGCACAGGGCCAAGCCAGGGCAGAGCGGACCGGCATTCGGCGCTCACGGCAAAATTGGAGCCCTCTTGCCAACCTTTACACGAGGACGACCATGAGAAGGATATCTCCATGTGCTTCTCCGCTGAGTCCGAGCAGGAGTACCAGCCGCCCGGCCCCGGGTTGGTGTGTATGGTTTTGTATCCTGATGCTCCGGCATCAGAGCTAGAATGATCTAGAAGCTAGTCCATCGTGGCTTGCAGAACGCGGAGCCAAACACAACCCTCGGTGCACGTGAAGACCCGAGACAACAGTGACATGGGAGGCAAAAGACTGTCACTTGAAGGCTCGAGTCAACGGGTTGTTGTAAGCTGTCTGTCCACTGCCGTGCCAACCTATCCCGAAGCACGCCTAACGTCCCCTGTGCTGCGCGGCAGATTTGTTCTCAGGAAGTGGCGGTCCCTGCTGTCGCAGGCCTCCAACCTGGAAGGCTTGTGGGAAGCTTTGGCCAAGCGGAGTAGCAACTCACTAAATTCCAAAGGCCAGGAATTCGGATTTCAAGGCTCGCTAGGAGGATTCCACGGAGGAGCAGGACGACGTCGCCACGCGATGGTGATTCTGTTGTCAATGGTTTTGTCCCAACAGGTGCCATGCAGACCATCCGCTTGGGTGGCACAGTGGCCGATGAGCTGAAGCAGTTCAGGCGGGACTCAGAACTTTCCCATGCATTTTGCTAGCGTATGAGCGTGTCCATGCAGAGCCCTTCCGGGAGCTTGGGGGTCACTCCCCTACTAGTAACTAGGAGTGCTGCAGTGTTATGATGTGTGGGATGACGGCTGGCTAAACACGGAAGGACGACCGAATTTGTCGAGCCGTGGCCGACCTCATGTTTCAGCTGCATCCGTTGGCTTGCTTTCGCCGCACCGGCAGGCTCGCGGTGAAGAACCGCCGGATGAAGGTTGGTGAGGACACCAAGGACAAGAGGGCTCCCTCCAATTCTGCCGAGCCCCGGCTGAAAGCTGGAGGTGCAGAGTTCCAGCGTCTGACGCCAGGACCAGTTTGCCCCCATCTTCAAGGCGAAGCTGCGGAAGGTCAAAGCAGAAGGCCGATCTCTTCAGGGAAATGGAAGGAGGAGAGCAGATGAAGTTGGGCGGGAGGAGTTTTTTGTGAAACAGGATCATAGGGTGCTTCTTGGAGCGCTTGGATCTCAACATCGAGGGCCAGTATACGGTGCAGACGTCATCACCCCATCTAGGGGTATGTAATGCAAAGCTATCGATTGATCGGGGGGGGGGCAGGCCATGGTTGCAAGGTGATCGCAGATTTCACATGTCCTCTGCCTGTCGTCATGGCCTGGGTGATTTTGACCATACATGCACATTCACGGTCATGAAGCCAGCCTGTGGGGTCTTAGAACCGTTTAGGCTTCAGGTTTGTCTTTCTGCAGCTCTCGTTTCATGGTTTGTTTATGGAGCTTCTGGGTGTTTATAAGGGCTGGGATGGGTGGGTGGGGGGCTGAGGCCGACAGGGTCGGATGCTGCAAAGTCGGTGTTTGTTGTGGGGTTCCAACTATGGCAGCTGAGCGGAAAAGAACACTGTGCAACAGGCATTGACATTTTCTGCACTCGCCGCCGAAGAGTTTCTGCAAGCCTGTAAGTACCGATGCCTGCTTGGAAAGCCTTAGAAAGCTGGAGGCGACCGCAAGAAGGTCGATGACTGGTTTGAGCGCGAGATGTGGATCGCCAAAAACGGAGCCTTGTCTCATAATAGTTCAGTCACTTCAGTCTCTTTAAACGGATCACTTCTCCACACCCTTTTTTCAGTCTTTTTGCGGTTGGACGGGCAAAGGCAGCCATTTTGGGTTTGCTTCGCTGTCGGCTCTCGGGATGTCCCTGAAGATGGGATGGGTGATGCATAGCACCAGGCCCCGGATGCCTTACTGAGGGCTGCGTGGAGTAGCCGAGTAGCGCTCTCGCATCAGGCAGTCTGGTCTACTGGAGCAAGAAGGAAGACCGTGGCTTGCATGCAATTCAGAGTCCTTCGGGTCATGGCTCAGCGAGCTTTCAGAGCGCTCTGGAGACAAGCCAAGGAGAGCTGGTGTACTACACTGCGAACGACATTGCACAAGCAAAGTTTGTGCTGATCGACAACGAGGACACTTTTCACCCGCCACCTGTCCCATTATTATAGGTCTTACTATCCGGAAGCGCTACTCAGGCCAAGTAGTCTGGCCCGGTTTGCAACCGCCGTGACGGCAGCACACCCAAAAATAATTGAAGACCGTTCTGCTGTCTGATATCCACAGCACAGGTGGGCGTTCCAGGTGCAGTTGGCGTCCTCCGGAGGCATCGAGTTTGCACCCGGCGAGTTCGCTGCTGAGTCAGAGGCCAGCCGCGATCGTGGCCCGGCAGATGGCTTTGGTTGTGCCGTGCCTTTGGAACCATTCTGTTTCTTCTCGTTGTATGCTCGTGACGGACGTTCGGACTGTAACTGCGACTGCTACTGTCGTTCTCCTTGCTGCTGCTGTCTCTAACGCATCTCTCCACAAGGGATGAACGCTGCTCGTGGTTGTCGCCAGTATCCGTAACCTCTATAAGAACTCTTCGTCTCAATCTGTTGTCTTGCTGCTTGTTTTCCTAAGTGCTACAGCGAAAGCAGCAAAAAAGCCCTGCCACCACCAACAGAGAGAACGACAGGAGTACTGCACGCGATGACTGCGACCGACAAGCTCTCGCTACAGACGCAAAAGCAACCGCTTTCGACACAACCAACAGCAACTTTCGGCCAGCACAGCCCCCCTGGAACCAGTGAGATGCAAGTCAGGGTTCGGCGTAGCTTCATGGCAGCCGAGGATGGATCTCCGAACTGGCGCAGTTCAAGCACGCCTAAGCAGTCCTGTCTTGAGGACTGCACCCAAGTGCTGGGCAGGCAGAAGTGCGTATTTCAGTCAATCTTAGGCGAGTGAATCCATTCCCGCATGCAACCTCTGCCAGTCCGGGCACTTTGCATTTCACAGTGAACTGCCGGTAGCTTTTGAAGGAGGCGCCTGTGTTACATTACGCAAGCTTGCCGCATGTGGTAGCAGTTTTCGGGGTCGGGGTGTCCGAACCATCCGAAAGAGCAAGCTTGAAAGAAGAACCGATGCCGTGCGAGCGATGCTAGTGGAGCAAGACAGACGGCAAGCCTAGTTGCTTCTCCTGATTCGCTTACTCACTCAACTGCTCGTACCCACTTCACTTGGTTAAGCTGCTGGCAGCACCTAAGCTAAGTGTCCCGAACGGTCCCCCTGAATCAGTACGTGGCTGCGAGCACCACGAGTAGGCAGCTTAAAACAGCATATGCCCCGAAGTGCATTTTACATGGCATCACATGCCACCCTGTCTTTAGTACTATGTCGGGCTATAGTGGAGCTAGCTGCAGACTCAAGGAAGGAGACCCGCAGCTTGTCTGACTCTGCCTTTGCTTCGCTCTGCCTCTGGCCTGGAACTGGTCTGCTCAGCAGTGAAGGTTCCGGGGCTTCTAAGAGCCGTGGGCAGTCTCCAGCCCTCTAACCGATGTGGCCTGTGGCCTTTGTGTCATTCCCTCAAGCTTCGTGCAGTAGCCTCAGACACCACGGCTCAAAAGGCACCGCTTGTCCTCGGCTGTTTTGATGCGTGAGCGGCAGCTTCCAACCTTGCCTTGTAGAACAGGGTTCTTGGTGGTTTGAGGACATTTGGCCGTTCGGAGTTCCAGAAAGACAAAACGAAAGTTTGTCTGGTCTTCCCACGGGTTGCAGGAGGGTCATACTTGGCAGTCAGAACTCCCGCGTCGGACCGTACTCGAATTTTCCTACCCGGCTGCACATCTGTCACAATCTCGCAGATTTGCAGCTTTCGTCAAGTGTGCAATTTGCCACTCGATGCAACGAGACGGGAGTTTTCCCATTACTGTGGCGCAGTCAATACCAAGTTGCTTGAGCTCTGAAAGGCAAAAGGAGCAAGAGATGTGTAGAAGTCTTTGAACCCAGAGTGTCTCGGCATCGTGGGCAGTGATTGGCAGTTGCTCTGTGTTTGGCCGGCATCCTTGGTCGGCCGTTGTGTAGCCCAGCGTGACGAAACAAGCCCCTATAGAAAGCACCAAGACAGCGAAAACAAGTTGGGTTGAACATGGTTTGCAACTCGTTTGGTCCCTGGGTCATCTTTTTGTAGAACCAAAGCATGTCCAGCTTTCAGGAACAGAACAGAAAACCAGAGGCACGCTGTTGCGTTGTCCTACATCGAATCTATGGTTCCTCAGTTACTTGAGTGTTGCTTCCCCCATCTGCAGAGATCATACCGCTATTTCGACTGGTCTTCCCTTGCTGGTTTTGAGTGCCTTTCTAGCTGTTGGCTTTGGCGGTTTACGGGTTCTTGTCGAGGGGTCGCCAAAACCTTTGTTTTCCTTACCTTCTCATACCATCCTGCCGTGCATCGTGCAACCTGTACACACGATCCCAAGTCCAGCTTAAAATCGAAGCTTCGCCGTGCCGAGCCGGAACTGGCATATCGGGGCATATCCGAACTCTTGGGGGCTTCAGCTCCAAGGATTTGGGATTTCAGGGATGTCCTAGCAGCTACGGCACGCATCCATGAAACTTGCAAAGAGTCCGCAAAGAAGGAGATTCTCCTGGACAGATGAGGGCGTTTCGGCGCTGTGATTGCTAACCCATGTATGTAGAGACACGTTCCGGCAGTTCAGGTGCCTCAACTCAGGACAAGTGTAGAGCTAGCATGCTGGATCGACCATGCTGGAAGACAACCGTTGGAGATCTTGGATACCGTGTACAGCACAAAGATGTAAGGCAAGCTCATTTTGTTTCTTGCGTGTTTTGACATGAAGGAGATGGATGATGTACCATGGCTCTTCCTCACGTCATGGGCATGGTAGCAAATGTCTATTCTTGAGCTATTCCCTTCTCAAGCTGCCTGGAATGTGAAATTTGCACGCCCCGGCTGATGTTGTTGATACTTCACAAATGGTGAGTGTCGAATAATCCGCGAACACTGCGTTGATCATCGAAAAGGAATATATCGGCTCCTCTCCTGCATCTGAGCTTCTAGCCGCCAGCGCGAGATGTTGCAAGTGGCAACAGCGGGTTGAACAAGACTTTGCTAGGGATGCTAGGGACACTACTGGCTACAAGCCGATCGGGAAGAGTCAAACTTAGCCGCCAACCCTCCGAGCTAAGGCTTCAGAGTCGTGGAAGGACGGCGTCGTCTAAGGATTTAGGGCCTAGTAGTCCTAGTTTAGTCTCCTGTTCAGCCCCGCCGAAAAGATACCAAGTAACACATTCTCGGTCTGCAAGGCAGCCCTTCCCTTGCGACGCCGAGTCTGCACCGCGAGATCCGAAACTGAACAACACAAGCCTAGACAACAGGCAAAATCCCAGAAGCTGCGCCTAGCACTGCAAACAAGCGCTGAATGCACGGGGTTTCGGAGTCTTGTTAGACAGCCTTGTTGAACTGACCTAGCTTCCTGGTCCCCGGACCAAAGCCCTAAATCCTCAACCCTAACAGCGGCATTACCAGATCGAAGACCACACACTCCGTCGCTGGGAGACTGGCACCAGCAACACCAAAACGCGACCGTGGCGAACAGCAAAGGGATGTGGCACGCTGCTGGCAGTGTGCAGGCAACCGCACTCATCAAAGCATTGAACTGTCCCTTGATGTACTTGCTACCGTTTGAGGAATAGTTTTTCTTGTGAGGAGTTCTTGTTCATGGGCACACCATTGCCACAGAGCAAGCCTTGGACACCCTGAGTCGTAAAGAGGAGGGCCTGTTAACGGAACCAACGGGCCCGTAAACCACCAATCAAAGGAGAGACCATCAGAGCCTTCCCTGCGAATTCAAGGCCCCAGCGGAAGGCCCTCAGCAGCCTCCAGCTCGGCTAGCGTCGGGAGCCTTTGAGCCGCAGTGTGTGGGACATGTGATATCTATCTACCGATCGATCGATCCATCCATCTATCTATCTATGTATCTATGGATATTATGGAGACGGAGATGAAGATGGATCAGTACAGGTATACGGTATACGTCTATGTCCATGTGCTGCCTCTGGCAATGGCTATGTGCCACTGGCAATGGCTATGGATATGGCTATATCTACTCGAAGCTGTTGTGCATTTTCGGAAGATGTGGTACGGAAGACGATCAATTTGTCGGAAGACGGCGCCCCACCCAGAAAACGAGTTGGAGAGCGGCCAACCAGCGCTACAACCTCATTGCGCTTTTTGGACGTGTTCTCGTCACCATTCTTGAACCCACCAGCAAGGTGTTGTACCACGCCAGCTGTTGTTGCTTTTGCGGTTACCTTTCTACTTGCGAAGCGGTATTGTGATTCCTACCCTGCATGTATTTGGGCAACATTTGTTCCATCCATCAGGGCTGTAGTGGCTTCCTCCCAGCGTTCGCCGCACGACATGTGTCTTTCCAGAAAGGTACGTCATCCAGTTCCATGGGTTCCATGGTCACATGCCTGTGTTCCATGTCATCTGGTACACCTTCCGAGACCTCCCTCTTGCCCGGTTGGATGTTCCAAACCTGTTGCTGATTCTTTCCTTGAAGAATGCCACCACCCCCATTCTTGCGCGAAACTCCCTGAGTGAGTCCTTTCGCTACTTTGCTTTACAGAAATCATGGATGCAATTTACTTTATGTACCAAATCGTTAATTTCTGCAGCTTCATAACTGTCAGCCACGCCACCTCCCAGTCTCTTAACGTGGGACTGTGGACGCTCGCAGGGCCACGTCTACCGAGTCTACTGTCTACTGGTCTCTCTCGCCTCCCTGTCTGTGTGTTTGGCTTGCGCACCATACGGTTTAGGATTCTGTACGATACACGTACGTCCCTACATACGTATGCCGGCATGTATATGTCTATGTCTATGTTTATGCCTATCTCTACGTCTATGTCTATCTCTGTGTCTATGTTTATGTCTCTATGTCTATGTCTATCTCTATGTCTATGTCTGTGTCTATGTCTATGTCTATGGCTGTTTATTGTCGATGTCTGCGTCTAAGTCTCTGTCTATGTCTATGTCCATGCCCATGTCCATGTCCATGTCCATGTTTATGTCTATGTACATGTACATGTACTTGTGTATATATATATATATGTATATGTATGTATGGGCATTTATATATGCATGTCATATGTGTATACGTATCTATGTATGTCTGTATGTATGTATGTATGTATGTATGTCTGTCTGCATGTATGTATGTACGTACGTATGTATGTATGTATGTATGTATATATATATATACATATATTTATACATATATATATATATATGTGTATATATATATGCCGATAGTTCTATATGTTTCCATAAGTTAGGTGTGTGTGTGTGTGTCTATGTGTGTGTTTTTGGAGAGCGGTTCGAGGGTTTTTCCAAATGATGGTATCTTCAAAGTTGAACGCGTTGAAGATACTGTAAGGTTTTCAGGTCCTGAGCGGTTCTAAAGTTTCGAACATGGCTAGGCAGGGCATCGGTCGACAGGCAGTCGAGGTCTGTTTTTTGCGGGTTGCGTGGCTTCAAAGGTTCTGCGCGGACTCTTTGTATTGGGGTCTTTGGGTCGACAGCATTCAGAGTTGTCACAGAAGGAACACGTGAAAGAAGAGAGGTTAGGGATGTGTGCAGTCGGAACCATAAGCTCGATGCCACAGCTTCTCTGCACATAGGCGGCCGCTTAACGGTGCTGCCATCTCCAAGCGCAACCCCTCTTTTTCTCAGAAAGGTCGCTGGCGAGGATGCGCCTGCTGGCCGTGCCTGACCGAGACCTGCGTCCATTTGAAGAAAGGGGGTGTAGGTTTGAAATTGATCAAGTTATGTATCCTGAGCCTTGTCGCATGGTGTCACTCGTTGAACTTGCGCCCAACATGATCTTGGGAGCATAGTAGGCTAAGTCATTTATTGCCTCCACATGAGCACCGACTCAGAAATCTTGTTGACAGAGTTACTTTCAGGTCGCTGGCGCTACCTTGCCTGAGCCCCGGTCAGGTACTGACTCGTTAGTTACCTCTGTGAAGTCTATGGCCTTCACGAGCGTAGAGCCTTTGTGCTGGACTTGCCCCAGCCAGCATCCCAAGCACCCGTGCAGAGTAAGGAAATGTCACCGCACGAGGATGCACGAGGGTTCTGATAGGAAGTTCGTGGTTTGGTATTCATTCGAAACAGTGCGCCCCAAATGGCCATAAGGTCGGTTTCCTCTTTTGTTCGGAGGAGTATTCTCAATGATTCCCTTTTTATGCATATCATACAAGGCGCACTGTATAATATATTCAAGATCTCTCTGAGGTCCTCTTGCTGCTGGTCGCATGCCCAGTCATGCCGCAAACAGCTGTGTTCCGGACAGGTCTAGAAGCCAGCCGTGTTGTCAGCCTGGCAATCCTGGTTGCTCTTGCACTAACCTGTGTGCGTCTCTGTGTGCGTGTGTGTGTGTGTGCGGGTGTGGGTGTGGGTGTGGGTGTGGGCCTGGGCATGAACGTGGGCGTCGGGGTGGGCGTCGCTGTGGGGGCGGCGGTGGGTGCGTGCGTGTCTGTGTCTGTGTGTGTGTTTGCGTGGGTATGTGCGAGGGTGTGACTGTGTGTGCTTTGTGTGGGTGAGTGTGTGGATCCGAGCGTGTGGTGTGTGTGTATATATAACTATCTCTGTGTGTGCGTGTGTGCGTGCGCGTGTGCGTGCGCGTGCGAGCGTGCATGTATGTGCATGTGCGTTTGTGCCACAGGCGCGTCTAATTGAAATTACGATCTGCTGCCAGGCCCGGCGGCAGTTGGACTTGCAGGTGTGCCCGGCAGAGCTGCTTCGAGCATGTTTTGACGCTGTGAAGTATCGGTGACGATCGCTGGGATCTAGGTGTACGGGATGAGTTTAACTTTGGCCATGGAGCCGTGATGAACCGTGCCAGTTCCGGGCAGGAGGGGTCTGCAAACAACGTTCATAGCAGTCATTCCAATCACGTCTGGTTCTTCCGGTGCCTGCAGAAGTCCTGACTTGTACGATATTTCAGCGCCCTTGGCAAAGATCAGCATGCACCCGAAGCGAAGAACTGTCCACCCGACACTCACATCGTAACATGATCCAGCGGCGATACCTGCTCAGTGTAATCAGTGTTGTTTGACAGCACAATGCCGTGGTGACAGGCGTTCAAGCTGTGTCACACAAGTGGCTTCCCGACTGATCGCAACGGCTCTCTCGCAATACAAAGGTCTTACAGGCGCATCGGGCACATGACGACTGTCCGGTGCAGGCCAGGTCGCCCTGCTGCTCCAGGGTGATCTTGAAGTTTCAAGGGGCTCCAGTGTTCTCCATAATTTCTGTTTGAAGGTGCTAAACTGCTGGCTACCGGTCCTGTCGCACAACCATGGTAGGTAACGATGCAGTCGAGGTGTGAGTCTGGATGAAGTAGGCCACAGCCTGATCCCGAAACCACGATGCCTTCTTTGCTGTGGAAGATGGAGCCTGGACGCATCGGAAGGGCAGTCAGCCTCGCTCGGACCCTCAGGGCGGAGAAGGGAATTGTGAATAGTGGTTCCTGGACATCCGAGTACAATGGCTGGAATTTCATGCAAGTGATTGTCAACCCTCACGCTCGCGGACCAGTGAATACCCTCCATCCTGCAACCAGTGTGGGCAGCCAAGGATTTGACTGAGAACCCACCCCCGGCTCCAGAAGTGCGGAAGCGAGCGCTGGTCACCTTCAACGCGAGGGTGCGCTGGGACCTGGAGCTTTCAGTTTGATGGATCGGGGCCAGATGGGGGGCCCTTGAAGAGACGCCCTGTTGAAGTTCACAGGCACGTACAATCGCTCTGCTTGTTGGATGGACGCACGGCTACAGCACCGGTCACTCTGTAGAACGGAGTTTCGTAAGCCCCGCCTAACAGTGATTCTGCATTTCATGCTCTGACATGCACAAGGCTCTTCTGAGAAGCATAGTCTGGGAGTTGTTCTCTGCGTTTGGGGGATTTAGCAAATCTGATTGGGCAGCCTGGGATGACATCCGAGAATCCCGAAGGCTGAAGTTCAAGAAATGACGAGCTCGAGCACCGCAGCAATAGAATTGTTTGGTTTTCAGGATCAGACGAATCTGCACCTCAGTTCCACATCTGTGGTGCAAGGTCGTGCATATCCATCCATCCATCCATGCATGCAGACAGGAGCATCGGCATAGACTGACAGGCAGACATACATACATAAATACATCCATGCATGCATACAAGCGTGCAGACATGCATGCAACAGTCCATCCCCCCTCCCTCCCTCCCTCCCATCCATCCGTCCGCCCGTCCATCCGTTCATACATACACACGTACATACATACGTAATTTTTCGTCCACCCATCTATCCATACGTACATCCATGCACGCATACATGCATGGCATACATAGATCCATCCATCGATACATCCATCCATCAATCCGTCCATCCATACTTACATACAAAAACCCATACACGCATGTTCATGTACATGCACATACCTGCATGCATGCATAGGTGCATACAGACACATATGCATAAGCGCGTGTGTATATGTTCACGTGAACTTATGCATGATATCTGTACTAATTAGGAAGTATGTGTAAGCACATATACATGATAGAATGTTGAAAGGACGCACATGACGTACATGTATTCTGTGAATAGGTACAGGTACATCCATGCAAACAACACGTGTGTACAAATGCACATTCATAATTCACAGATGAAACAGGTAAGCGACCATACGCCCGCAGAGTAGAACATTGCGCAAACGAGAAACAGGAAGAAACCGGCGGCCTGCGTGAAATCTTCTGACCCATCTTTGCCCTTAGCGTTATTCTTTTGTGCTTGTTGCCGTCCTGTACGTAGCTAGATCCAAGAAGATTTTCCAATGGGCAGTACCGGCAGAAGGAAAGCTTGGAAACTTGATGGCAGGTGAAGGGTGGTCAGTGTTGCGACAGCGCCACGCAGACAGCGCCAGCCATCACGCTGTCGAAGATGTATGGAGGCGCCCCCACAAGCTCCAACCAATGCTCGAGCCAAGGTGCGTGGGCACATAGATGATCATAGATGCATGTAACTTCAACATGCTGACCCAATTTCAGATTGGTCCGGGCATTGTTGCATCGCTGTCTAGTTGAGGCATCGTGCCGCGCTACATCCAGCTGCTAGGCTGCAAATCAGATGGGGGAGAGGCACAAGAAAGTGCAGAGCGAATCGACGCGGAAGGGCCAAGGTGAAACTTTGAACTGTGGGGGCTTGTCCCTTGTGACCCCTGAAGCAGGTAGCTGGATTCTGACATATTCTGACATTCTGAGAGAAGAGATGCCATGCAAATCGCTCTTGATCCTATGCACTCTGGGAGACTCCTGCCTGACTGAGCCGCAAAGCTACAGAGCCTTCTCAAAGAAAGGCGGGAGCTGGCTCGACTGCGCCAGGCCTGTCACGCATGCAGCTTGTTGTGACGACTTGTGGCTTTCAGGGTGTCAAGCCCTTAAAGCCGTAAACCCCTATAAACCCCTAAAGGTCATGAGCTTCCTTTCGAGGTTCGTTGGCGATGTTGCAGGGCTTAAGCCCTTGGGCCGAGGCTCTTTGGTCATTTCGTGAGATTGGTGCTGCCCTGTTACCTGAGCACACTGGTCTTGCTGAAATCTTTGCCCGTGATAGAGTGCTATAACTGTCAACCCATTGTACCTCTTGAGACTTGAGGTCTTATCTTGGTCCCTGAGCTTGTCAGGAAAATCAGCTCCTCCGATATCGAATCGCCTCTGTGGAGTGTGCCTCAGAACTTGCCATGTCTGCCAGAACCAGACTGCCAGATTAGACGAGGTCCTGCATCCTCAAGCGTAGGTTTGATGTCCAGAGCCCAAGGCTGCGGCTCTCCCGGAGGTCAAAGGAGCTTGATCAAGATGAATTCGGGAAGTAGCTGCAGCCCAGCACCGTCCTCCAAACCTAGTCTGAGCTGTCCAAGATCATGTGGAACAAACCCCAAAGGCCCAAACCCTAAACCCCAAACCCCAAAGCCCATGCCTTCTGCTGTGCGGATTCCCGAGCTAGTACCTAGCAGACGGAAAAAGGCCCTCAACAAAAAACAAGAAAACCCAAAGCCCAACCCCTAAGCCCTCTGAACGGCTTCGAACCCCCAAAAACCACCCGGGGATTCCTGGACCCGCAGCAGAGACCCCCCAGAGCCGCCCAGGCCATGTCTCAGCCACTCCAAAGGAGCCGCTCCGTCCGTCATCAGGCTGTGGCCCAGAGATCCCAATACCCCTTTATTTGAGGAACATACCCTTAAATCATCATAATAGTAAGGCCCCCGTAATCCAAGGTATGTTCCTTAGTTAAGGGGTATTGGGTTCTCCGGGTGGCTTTCTGGCCCAAGGGCTGAAAATTCAGGGTTTGGTCCTCCGACGGGCCCCTGTCCCTGTTCATATCCATAATATGCAGGTAGACATGCTTAGACATGAGGAGCCGGACTGTATAAACAAATGCAGATGCATACACCTACACCTTTTTACATCTATATGCGCCTACACCATGTACCTGCTATACATGCTACATTCATCCATGCATTCATCCATCCATGCATGCATTCATCCATCCATGCCGCATGCATGCTGCATCCGCATACATGCACAGAGACATGTTTTGACGTTGATGGCCGATGGAAGGCAACGCAAACAGCTCCGGCCCTCACCTTCTCGACTGGCAGAGGCGGCTTAGCCTTAAGGCTTCCTTGACGGGTATCTTTAAAGGGTTCCCTCAAGGGTTTCGGGGCTTCAAGATTTAGGGTTTAAGGTTTCGAGCTGCGGTTTAGGGAGTCAGCGTTCCGGGCCCCATGCCTGCGAGCCGCAGCTGAAGCCTCAGAGACTCATCATCTGAGTTCTTTAGCCCTGGAGCCTGCAAGACCTCCCCCTACGCCTGCATGTACCGACAAGCCCGGTCTCCATTACGTCTTAGGCGCTGATGTGGGAACTTACATCCAACACGGCTTAGGGTTTAGGGTCTCGGCCTTAGGGCTTATATTCCACAGACGTGTCTTTCTGTCTGTTCTCGTCTTTCTGGATCTAGATCTGAGAACGATCCGAGAGCAGGCCACGGTGGACCCGCGATGCCAGCCGCCTTGGTCCTGGAAGAGGGTTGGATTTAGGCTTGCTTTTGCAGGTGGATGAACTGAGGTGTTCAGGGCTTCGTTTTTCCTTAAGGGATTGTCTACGGCTTTGAACACCTCGGATCGGAGGTTTCCGGATTTTTGGTGAGAGTTTTTGCTTTTGCGTCCTCGATGTGAGTTTATGAGGTTTCGGGAAGATCGGGGATTGACGAGCCACGAATTCAGATGGCTCTGCTTCTGCATATGATCAGTCGCCCAAACCCAACGATTACAATGCTCACAATGATTACTACTACTACTACTATTATTATTATTATTACTAATATTACTAATATTGGTATTATTATTACTATTATTATTATTATTATCATCATCATGATTACTCTTACTATTATAACCTTGGCTTCGAAACCCCCCGAGGCGGCGGCAAGCTCCCGAGTGCAATTCCTCAAAACCTGACGGCTGCTCGAAGAAGCCATGATGAACGCAAGCCCAACAAAAATTATGGAGATGTGCTGTGCATGGCCTATGACTCAGGACTTGAGGGCTCACGAGGCGTGTGCATAAATCAGGCAGAAATTGTGAGTTCCGATTCCCAAGGACTGTTAGGCGGAGCAAAGATGGCCCTGGACAGGAAGTGGATGTGGGAGGAGATGCTGGCGATGCTGCACCCCTTCACGATCGCTGTAGCTAGCCTGGCCAGCCGTCAGATTCGCTCTATGTGTGTTTCCCCCAATGGTCTTCTTATTGTGCCATACATTATCGTCTTCTGTGATGATTTCGACGGCCCTGGAACTACAGACCAAATGCTCCGTGCGTTGCCAGCCATTGACAAAGGAGAAGTGGTTGAGATAGAGATCTGTGACGGCAGGGAGCTTGCAAATCCGGTCGAGAAGCGGGACCGTTTCAGCTTGTGCCTGGGATGGCTGCTGGGCCCTTTCAACAAGCTGCGTGCTGTTTCGATAGACGTCGAATACGGCCTCGGGGACCAAAGCCTTTGGGTGACCATGCTCCTGAATCTGAAACGCCATTGTCCCAAGCTGGAACACCTCAGCATGTACAGCTATCCACAAGAGGTCATCAAGGCATTGCCCACTTTCCAAAGCTTAACAAGCCTGCACATGGCCATTCAGAGCACCCCGCATGCTCCAGCGACATCGATGCTGGAAAGATTGGCCGACTGTTCATCGTCCTTGCCAGCATTGGATACTCTGTTGCTAGAGGTGGCCCCAGGAACAGAAGAGTGTCTGTCCTCGCTGCAGAGATGCTTGGATGCTTTTCCGCTCTGCTATGCCCGCATCATCGAAATCGTTCACGATCCTCAAGCTCAGGAAGCTGGGACACTCCCAGGCACACTCTCGCATGTTAAATGGCCGACGAAGTGCCGCACCGTCTCGTTGTCAAGCTTGTTTTCCGGGGAGGACTTGTGTACACTGGCTGAGCAAATCTGCTTGGGCACCGTCAACTGCCTCTATTTAACCACTGGGCCGCTGACAACTGCTGCCCATGCGAAAAAGTTTCTGGCAACCCTCGAAGGTTCGCAGCTGAAAGGCTTTGGTTGGGAGTTTCCTGACCAGACTGTTTCACACGAGGTGCTCAAAGTTATCGGGGACAGTGCATGCAGCCTCGTCCAGCACCTCAAGTCTTTACGGGTTCTGGAGATCGGCAGCATATCTGGAACATTTGAACCACCGGATTTGTCAGCCCTTGCTGAAGAGCATCGGGTGCATTGGCGACGCCCCGATTCTCGGAGGTGGTGACGCTTGCTGGCGAATCGGCAAACGGGTGCAAGGTCTGGCCTGGAAGTGGGGCGAAGGGGCATGGCCAGTTAGAAGCTGGGGACCTTGCAGACAGCCGTAACAAAGCCCTCAATCAACCGGTGTGAACTAAGCTCCAGGCCCCACCAGGACTAAGGGGTTGAACCTCGGAGCCCCAGCTGCAGACTTCACGGTTCGGACGCCCCTCGAAGAGAAGGTTTGAGCCTGTAAGGGGGGAGATCGTGCAGTAAGAGGGTCCACAAGTCTAAACTCTCTTGCGCTCAATAGCTTTATACCTATCGGCCCATGTGCCACTTCCCTAAACCCTAAACCTTGGGAAGCAGCATGAGCGGAGGGAAGTTTGGGAGACGAAGGTCGGAATGACCCGCGTGCCGCGGTCCATGGTTTCGCAGGCTGGCGGAGCAGCTTCCTTTCGAAGAGCCCCCGGGTGTGTTGATTTCGGGTCGGTGGAATCACCTGACGTCTTGAAGTCGAGGGCAGACAGAGAGGCCGAAGTTCAATTCCTGCCCGCCGTGGGCTACCCTTTATCATGCAAGTGGTTGGCATGTTGAAGCACAGGTTGTTCCGCCGTCGCCTGTGCCTTCTCCACATGCCTTCGAGGCATCGAGCTCATGATGTTGATGGGAAACTTGTCTTAGAAGCTCCGGGGCGATGCTGATTGCGCAGGTCGCAGCAAGTCTTAGTATTTTGTAGTTGCAGACTTCGCAATGTCTGATTGTGTCGAAGTCTCGAGCTCGGCGTCCAAGGGCGGCACCGTAGGTGTGGATGATGCTTTGCCCGGACTACCGAAATCGAGAGCGATGCCCGGGCTTTGGGCATAGGCGCAATACGCCTAAGCCAGGATGGGCAGAGGGAGCGTGCAATGCACCAAACATAGGAGAGTGCTGCTGTAATGGAGTGTGCTCGACCCAAAGATCGACCCTGACTTCCGATTCCTTCATCCTTTCCATCATTGCTTGCTGAACTCGCAACGGAGACCACCTGCAAGACATGGCAGGCAAACCTACTTCCACCGATGCTGGCCCAAGACGTGCTCGAGGCGCCTGGGACCTTCTGTTGTGGCCTTTGCTGGAAGCATTGACATAGCATCATCAGTCTGGCGGTGGATTAGGTGTAGGGTGCGCGAGTGCTTTGGCGTTGTTGCGACAGCTTCCAGGCACTGATCGACTTCGATTCTGTTGTTTTCGATGGCACTCGCGAGGTTGCCCAAGAGTCCGAAACACACCCAGAAGCGGCTGCAGTCTCTGGCCGTCAAAACCAGTAAAGAATTCTGAGCCAGCTAGATCATCAACCCTGCATGCTAAACTAAATCCAATCCGTTGAACCTCAACCAGGGTTTAGCGACGTTGCATTCCAACTGTAACAGGGACGAAAAGAACCGTCAACAAAAGCAGAACCTTCGGCACTACAGGCCTTAAGCTGCCAGATCCCTGGCATGGAAGGCCTCCATCTTGGCCTTCGTGCGCGGCGTGGAGCTGCAGACTGAAAGTCAGGCTAGAAACGACTGTCGGAGTTTAGCGGCTGGTTTGATGGGCTTAGTTTGAGGGTTTGGTGTTTTAGGTTAAGTGGGCTCCGAGGTTTGCGGCCCCAGGTTGATACGGGTGTGTAAGGCTTGCGGTTCAGGATCTCAAGCTGAACGAAACTCCAGACCGTGCATGAGGGTTGGATGATTTCTTGCGCAGTCGGGTTCGTAAATGATCTGCCAAAGTTTCACTCAAAGACAAGATGCCCAGATGTACCGAAGGCTAAACGTTCCACTCAATCCCGACCGCGTACTTCTTGTGAGGCCGCGTACCGCAGGGCTGTGATCGCCAACTGCAAGCGCATCGCCCGGACCTTGAAGTGAGATGCATGCTGGCACAAAGCCAAGGAGAAGCTTTCTTGCTGGTTACACTCATGATAATGAGGACAGCCGCCAACAGTTCCCCAGTGATACCTGACACAGTACGTAACAAACTCCGAATGCTCTTCGGCCCGACCTTCGCAGCGTCAGCGGACCAAACCTCAAGCCCTAGCCGTCCACCCCAAGGACCCGAAACTCTAAAGTGAAACATACCGAAACCCTAAATCCGCAGCTTCGGCTCTAAGTTCTCAGCCCTCAAATCAGCTCAGCTTGAAACTTCAAGAAGCCCGAGGCTCAGAGCTTGTGGCCACGATGTCTGGTGGAGTTGCGCCCCATCTGGCAGAAAAGTGGAGGGTCGTTGGGGTAGCTGTTACTTGGGCGGTCTTGCTTTCATGCTTTATATGTCCTTTGGAGTGGAAGTTGGGATGGGAGATGTCACGATTGGAAGTGTCAAACTTCACCGTTGAGTCTTCTAAATTCATCAACAACTCATCAACGGCATCCCGAAGCTGACTGGCAATCCTTGCAAGCTAGATGGCAAACCGGAATCGTGACCTCTCCACGCTTCCTTTGTTGGGATCAAACCGTGTGGAGCCGTAACTTCGGCACCGAGCTTCTGAATCTTTCCAGCCGATGCTACTTGTGCTTGGGGCCAGGAAGAGGGGTGCAGGGTTACATGGTGTTTGGCGAAGTTACAGGGCCTCGAGTCTTATGACCCTCACCTATCATACTTACCGACTTACAGTCGTCTATTCCACAAACCCGAAGCCAAGGTACGGCTCCTACGCCTCGGGCTTAGGTCTGCGGAGCAGCAACCTCGATCTTCTCATCAAGGTGCCCCCGGTGGGGGCTTCGACTTGGGTTGCGGAGCTGGCCCACATTGTGAGCACTAGATCGCAATCTAGGAACTTTCCAGATGTGTTGTGGGGAATGCCGCTGCATTTGAGGCCTTGAGTCACTGAGAGCGCGCAGGTAGAAAAACATGCATTCAGCGTGTGCCATGTCGGTTGTTTGAGAGCTGTCCCACCTTATCCTTTCTGCCAACAGTGGTAGCGGAGCTGGTGACATCCAGCCTGCTGATATGCGAGGCCCTCCTGGATCCTTTATGGATGCTTGGCAAGGCAAGGGCTATCAGTGCGGGACCTCTAGCTTGCCCCCTGGACCGCTGGCTTTCGCCACTTCGTGTCTACGTGGACAGGCTGAGGTGAGACCTGGCGTTTCGGCGCCCCAGAGCCCGATGGCGCCACAGAGTCCGATGGCGCCTCCGGGTGGCTACATGGCGCCACCCACGCCGCCAATGCCTATGACAGCTCAGGCCCCGCTACAGAGCTCAGCTCTTCCTGCAGGGCCTCTTCTTTCGACTTCGGCACCTATGTCTTCGGAAGCAGCAGCTGCCCAGAGACAGAGTTCGTCGTCGGTTCCCGTAGCGGAACCCGGAGCTAGTTTGGCCGGATCTTTTGCAAATGCTTTGGGTGCTTCCTCCTCAGGAGCAAGCGCCCCTGAACCACAGGTCAAGAGTGCTTTTGAGTTTCTTGGGAAGAAGGCCCCAGCAGAGGGTTCGTCTTCCATGGAGGCTAGTGAGGCGATCGTCAAGGCGCTCACCATGGCTGTGAGCGGGGAGCGGAAAGCTATCCCGACTTGGGCTGGCAATGTGTCTACGCTGCGGGCTTGGCTGAGGCAGCTTTCCTTTTGGGAGATTGACAACCACGTCCCACGGCATCGTTGGGGCATCAAGTTGTACCAGGCCTTTGCTGAGGGCAGTGTTCCAAGGAGGATTGCAGAAGGTCTTCCGATGGAGCAGGTTCTCTCTGAACAAGGGTACGGCATTTTGCTGTCAACGGTGCTGGAAAAGTATCGACCTTATTTGGAAGCCGCCGGCCCTGCAGCTATAGATGCCTTCTTCTACCAAGGTGAGCGTCAGCGCTCAGAGACGTTTGCGAATTTCATCTCGCAAAAGGAGCTGGCGAAGCAGGAGATTGAGAACCTCACGGGCGAGCGAGTTCCAGAGCGGATGGCTGGGCGTGTGTTGCTTAGGCAGGCCAATCTGTCGGAAAGTCAGAGAGAGCAGATTGCGATTAAGCACAACGCCCTCCTAACCTTCGACGAGGTGTCGAGAACCTTGAGGCCGCTAGATCGTCCGGAGGCCCTCATGAAGCCTATGGCGGCGTCCGCCGCATTGGCTACCTATGGCAATGCGATCGAGGAGACGGCAGAGGAGCCGAACTATGAGGCTGATGGCTGGGACTACGAGATTCAAGAAGAGTTTGAGGAAGATGAAGAGGAGGATCTAGAACCGCCTCGAGAAGGGCTTCTTTACTTCGAGGCGGACCGAGAATATGACGAAGATGAAGCAATGTATGTTTGGGCTTACAATGACGCCTATGCGCAGTTCTACCAGGACATGCGCGAGAATACCTCGGCCAACTTCCCCGCCTACCAAGACGTGAGAAAGGAGATGCAGGCGGTGAGAAAGGGCAGACAGTTCTTTCGGCCCGAAAAAGGCCGTGGCCGAGGGAAGTCCAAGGGAACTGGCAAAGGCGGCAAACGAAGCAAAGGAAAGAAAGGCCCACGGAGCAGCAGCCGAGGCAAGGGAGGCCATCGTGGGACTCCCGAGGAGCTTTTGGCAAAAACCCGATGCTTCAATTGTGGGGAGTTGGGGCACTTCAGTAGAGATTGCCCGAATGGACAGAGCAATCCCTCTGGTCGCAACAACTTCGTGGTCAGCCAAGGCCCTTTTCCCGGGGCCATCAACCGCACCTTTATGGTGGGCCAGAGTGTTACAGCTATCTATGCAGGTGTGCGGACGGCAGCTGGACAGGGTTTGGTTGACACAGCGGCCGAGGACGCTGTCATCGGAAGCTCGGCATTCAGCCGGCTTAAGCAGCTTCTCGAAAACCAGGGGCTGCGTCCGGTGGCTGTGAAGGGCCCTGTCGGAGCATGTGCCGGGATTGGCGGCTCAGCTCAAGTTACCAATGTCTGGGACCTCCCCATCGGCATTGCTGGCACCAATGGACTGCTGAGAGTGACGGAAGTGGCGGACAGCGATGGGTTTGAGACGCCCTTCTTGATCCCCATAAGCTTTCAGGAGCTGGTGGGTTTGGTCATTGATCTGGACCGAGGCGAGGTGCGAACCAGAAGTGGCAATGTTACCACCATGCAACGCCTACCAACTGGTCACAGGGCGGTTTCGGTTGTGGAGTTCAGCGGCAAGTGGGCCTTGCCGAAAGAGCTAATGCGTG